TTTGGATTTCCTTTTCACAAATTATTTACATATTTTGTAACCTTTAAATAAACTGCTTACTTTGATTCATAGGTAAGGCTCCATTCAAAGTTTCATATGATTTAATCATTGCAGTGCCATCTGTATTTCTGACATTGATTTTCACTCCATATCTGCATGTTGCACCGCATGGTGTGTAGTCCAGAAAGTATGCTGAATACACGCCGTCATTTGCTATAATATCACCGCCTGTATGAACATAGTGTATAGCATACGTTATTGTCCACGTTATTATATTTTAACATCGATTTTTTATTTTTTTTTATTTTAATGTTTAATTTTATATAAACACTCTAACATACACGTCTTACTATCGTTGTAATGACACATATTGAATTATCTTTTTAATATAGTTGAATCAACTTTTAAGGTATGGTACAATTATATTAATATAAATTGTACCACACCTTTCCTCTTCACTAAACCTAAGCTACGCAAACTTGACTTAAATTTGATTAAATATTAATAGAAATTATGAAATTGTGAGGCTTATCACTTGGTAGGTATAAAATTAAGAAGTGGTCATAACTTTAATAAAACAAACGCGCGCACGCGTACAGCACTGGTTGTAAAAACACATTACCTACCTACGCCATTGTCAAATAACGTTAGGACTACTTTGCCATTGTTTGGTGTATTAACTGTCGCAATGACTTGGGCGCCAACGACAGGGGAATATCCTTTTCTCACTTCCGCTCTGAACACTAGCTCAGGGTCTGTGCCATAACTCAATGTAGTTTTGCTCAATCTTCCTAAAACTCGAATAGGTTCGTCATCTTCATTTTGCATTCGGGATTCTAGTATTATTTTTATAATGCCTGAGGTGCCATTGGTGTTATAAATAATATACGTCCATATGCCAGCCTGTAAAGAATAATAACACACTGATTTATTAAAATTATTTTGTGTTTAGCCACTATTGTAACAAACTTGATGTCCGTGATAATCAGCTGTGTTACTTAGCGACATACATCACATGGCGTTGTATAGTTTATGGACGTCGTAGTGTGAGTTCAACCACCACTACCGCCGCCATGTATTGTTCAGTAGTCGAGGAAAACTCGTGTCTCTCTATTTTCAATTCTTGCAACATGGCTACATTTCATCGTTGTTTGCAATCTGCAACACACACCAAATATTGAACAGAGTAAACATATTCTCACATTAACTTTCGACTTTTGAGGAAACGTAAATTGCAATTGTATGAAAACATGTATTACCTCTGCTATGCCGTGTATTTCGATAGCGACCCTACGTTGTTCTTCGTGGACGGAATACCCAATGTAGTATTTATCAATCCGTACTGCAGTGGGAGAGAGAAGAGCGACATCCAAAACTGTTTCCAGAAATATGAACGAGAATACAGTTCGATTTCCTAGACTTGAATCCAGGAAAAGTGTATCTTCGTAGGTCATCTCACTAGTTGTTAGTGTTATCACACTTGATTCCAGCTATTATAAAGAAGACAATTTATTATTATCCACTATTGTAATTACTAATATACTAGCAGTAAATTGTACTGTAGCGTTTTCTTCCAAAACTACACATTGTTAATACTATGTGAGTGTTTGTATTCTTAATATATGTAATGGTGGTATTCACAATGAAAAATTGAACTTACTGTGATTGGTATGATATCTGAGTTTCCCAGGGGATTGTCAGTAATGGTTGCTGCTAATGAATCGATAAAAGCCGTTGAATTATCATTGTCTGGTACATAGAAGTACAAACCACCTGTAGTATCTGATAAATTTTGAAGTATTAACTGTGCACTTTCTGTGTAAGCAAACGTGTCTACACGGACACCTGAGTCGTAGATATCTGGCAAAACATTCGCGATAAATGGAGATCTATTTTCTGCACCGTCAGTGATAAGTAACAATGATGCCCCTTCTGAAGCCACATTGCCATTTTCTAATACCTAGTGAAAATACGAAGATAAAATGTATGATATGTTCCATTGCTTAATCTGGGCATGATTCACGGGTAAAGTGCATTAGTTGCTTTCACGAACTTGAGCGTACAAGCTTTATACTGTACATTGTTATAAGGTGGAATGACAAATAGATATAAACCAGTCGGACATATGACACGGTAAACTGGATTGAAAGGACGTCCATTGTCATGTATTGATTAGCATCGCTCACCCTATATTATGTAACCAGTTTATGCCATTGGCGTCCTTTTATCATCACGCTACCACAGCGACACCGATGCCAGCTGACTGTGCACGCTACATCTCTTCGTAGATGCATTTCTAATGTCAATGTTATGATGCGATGTGTTTAAGAACACTCAACGATTTTCTCTAGTTATTTCTTTAGTTCGACCATAATTACGTTGTATTTACATGTATCTAAATCGTGCTAAATCATTGGATGAACAGTTGAACGCAGTCAGAGAACACCGCTATGAATACCGCAATTTCGGCACTATTGCAGTCGTAGTTGTAAGTCATGTATGTGTTTCCTTTTTTTAGTCATATGATTATTGTTCTGAAAGTTTGATTTTTGTTTGTAAATCCACCCATGTCCCTTAGTCTTTGAGCCAATTGTAAACCGGCTGATTTCATATGCAGCGTGTAATTCCGTACAATTGTAAACATATGCTAGATATAACAGTGGAAAAGCTAATCAACCACAGCAGGTAGCCCTGAGCTATTGTATTTCCGATCAAGGTTTCTGTGTAACAACCAACAACCGGCATTAGAAAGGTCAATGACAATGTCAAGCATTGCATCATTTTTGACAAATGATGACAAACATACGATTTGTGTTTATGTAAATTGACATACGGATATTTATTCGACTCTGTCGAAAACAATTGGTTTATATCTGTGAACTATTGCGAGATGTCTCGGCGTGAGCAATCAGACAGTGTACAACGGTAATAATATTACAACAGGTTAGCTCTCGAAAATACAGAGACCGCGCACAAACTAAAAATCTACTGGTATTACCTGAAGGGCAAGTTCCAAGCCAGCTCCAATACTAGTGAATCCATCGACAACTTGTGGGACATTTGATGCAATGTCATCACGCTGGAATCCATACTTTATTTCTGTCATGCCAGCAAGAATAACTGCAGTAGATGAGAATCCAACAATTCCTACAAAACTACCATCTTCGATCTTGGTATCAATGAAATACGTTGCCGTCTGATACAGTCTTTGAATACGATTTCCCTGTTGTAATATGGTGTTGGAAATAAATCAGTTTGAAAATATGAATGCCACAATATGTTCACATCACAGAAGTAATCCTTTGCAAGTGAATTTACATTTTTCTATTACTAAAATCTCATAGTAGAACAACTCGAGAATTGTTCTGTTTCTAGGATCGTTGTAAATTATCGTACCGACTGACAATATTAGTCAGGTGCATAAATTGCACCTGCGATCCTGAGAAGGTGATCTGAGAAGTTAATTACTCGTCTGACATAGTTGCTTTAAAACTTACAGCCATACTGCCAGATGTGTCAAGTACCAAGACCACTCTTCGAACTTCACTTCGCTTGATGATAAAATTAGGAGATGTATCATCGATTACTCGAGTCGGGTTGGTACCATTTATAAAATCACTATGGTTGAGCATGACTTCCCATGCACTCCTCCCATCACATATTACATTCTGCCTGTTTTGGGGCACTCGGTTGTGTTTACCATTAGGATCCGACGGGTCGCCATGACAGAATTCTTCAACCTGGAGAGCATAAATTGCAAAAAATCGAATGTAGCATTTTTTTCATTTACAAACACACCTACATCATTTATAATCTATAATCACTTAGTATGTTCTTGCAATTGTGCTGATGTATGTAGGACGTATACATATTTGCATACACATATGCTGAATAATATTTGAATAATTATGATATCAGTACACTCGTGTGGTACTTCATCAAGTTGTATGAAATTCATGACTAGAATGCTCAAATGTAATTAACAAGAAGTTATCGTTTTCATTATTTCTGTTATAGGATAGAAGAGGCGGGTTTAATTAAGATGTACACGTAATTCAAAACATGTATCACTATTATTTTTTTCATGACAAGTTCACTCTGTTGGTCGTGGCGTAGCGTCTGGTAGGCCAAACCTAATCTACATTTCTAAGTTGATCACTTATGTAGCTATGTAATTTATGTAATTCATGTTTTCATTCAAGCCCAAAGAACAATGAATATGTGAATATCATGAAAGCTTATATACATGGTTAAATGGTCATTAAACTATTCTGACAATTTCAACTTCTTCGACTATCACGTAAACACAAGACGTAGCGAGCTCATAGCAATATCTTTTGTATCTTTGTGTTTATCTATTTTATCTGCAATGCTCCCGTGTTGTATGTCCTATAAACAACACTACCAATGACTGCATATTCATCGTCAGTATCGCAAAGAATGCACAAACATGGTCGTGACTTACCGATTTAATCCACTGTGCAAACATAATAGACGATTTGATCCAGTCAACGGGTTGCTCGGGATCTGCCCGGAATATACACTCAGGCAATGGTAATCCATCTGCGCCTCTGTCGCTACATGGCTCGCTCCCACTTATCAAGGAATGACAGGCAACAGGAAGAAGTTCATTTGAGTCTAAATAGAAATGGCTCTTGTCTTCGTCTACTGTGTATTCATCAAATAATCCCCAACGTAAGTGTCCCCATTCATGTACTACGACTTTGTCTAAATAAAAGGATACAGCCGCATATTTGCAATGATTATTTTAGACTGAATGTCTTAGATAGAAATTGATGCTACAATGACATCAAGTGAATCTTGCATACATCTGAATACAATATATAGTCAAATTGGTAAGAGGGGGGGGGGTATGGAACGCATGGTATAAACGAATTGAATAAAACATTGCCAGAACTACTATTTAATAATCTAACAATTGGTTTCAGTTTTATTACATACAAGTTGTTCGTCAGCTTTTGCGTCAAACTATCGTGTTGTGAACGACGAGTGATTTGTTTGGTACCATTCAGCACTCCTTGTTACCAGTCCATATATGCCACATTATTTACTTTGATTTGGGGACAATTCAACAATATAATAAACCTTGAATAATATCAAAACAACTATATTTGCTTGAGTTCATAATACGGTTTACGTGTATTCCTGGCTTATTATAGCCTCGGTACTTTTCTAATCCAGCAATTTCTAGTTGCTTTTGGGTTTCTATTACAGCAGTCAAACGAGTATGGTAGGTCGAGTGTATTATTCATTAAGAATATTTACGTGCAAGATTTTACCCTTCGATTTATAAATGACATATAAATATATTCATAAAACATCCACTTGTATTTGTTAAATCTTCACTTATATTTGAAAAAATTCATATTTGCATTTGTAAAATCCACATTTGTAATCATTAAATCTCCCTTTGTATTTGTTTACTTATCATTTAGTTTTGTCAAATTTGCATTTATAGTCGTCCAATTTGTATTCATGAATCATCTACATGTATTTGTATGTGTAAAATAAGTGAGCATAGAAGGCGTTATTTTGGTAGAAATATACACATTTCTATTTGTAAAACTTCCATTTGTAATCGTTAAATCTCCTTTTGTATTTGTTAACTTACCATTTGGTTTTGTGAAATTTATACTCGTTCAATTTGTATGTGCAAAAAAGTGATCATAGTGGGCGCTATTTTGGTAGAAATATACACATTTGTAAAACCTTATATTAATCAACTTCCATTTGTGTTCGTAGAATCATCTGCATATACGACAAGTGAACTCTGAAGGCGCTCCTCGTCATTGACTCGAATTCAACGCGATGATTCAACCTAAAGGTTTCAACATGGTGGCAAGGGCCAACTCACATTGGATGCTTTGCCAAGCCAAAGAAAGTGACATTGTAAAAGTGCTTTTGTTCGACGGTGTTCTGATTTCCTAATGTCCAGGCGCAACATATTTTAGACTTCGTCTGTTAATGTACACTACAGCGTCGGAGTACAGACTGAATCCAAACGCTGTGGTGCAAACCTTTTACATTGAGCATTACTCTTGACGAAGGCAGCCATGCAGTCGCGTAACATTACGACACAGTACCGTCATCGACTCGTTTAAGAAAATAATCGCAAAATATTTGACGTATGAAAATACCGATGTGTCAACTTCGTGTATTAACTTAGAAGCCTATTCACAAATTCAAACACCCAGAACTTATTATTTATTTTGCAATAAATTGTACTTCCGGGCAATATTATGATATTGACTTTAAAAAAAGTAGAAGGTCACTAGCACCAGTGATGATGGGATATAGTTTTTGTTGACCTCAACTATTTCAAAACTCAGGGTTTTAAAAAGTGTAAAAAATGCAATTTGTCTTCAACATTCTGCTCAAAAGAATTGCTCTAAAAACAGCGATTTTTTGAAAAATATTAGGACAAGTTCGTCAAGATACGTAAATGTAACACACAAGATAACGATATTATATGGTGACATGATAGCTTCATGATTTTAATAATGCTAAAGCTAAACATGCCTATCGTGCGATGCCTTCAGATCCTATATCCGGTTATCGTGTTGCGTTATATCTTCTCGTGCATGCATCGCAGGTTTATTTGTAATATCAAAACTTACACTCATATTTAATACTCGGCACATGATACTAAAGTGGATCACAATATGCACCAACAAGATACGTCGGCAGTCATCCGTTGAATACAAATGAATAGTTTACCAATACATGACTGATAGTAATTTTACAAGTAAAAATACAAATAATACAAACAGAAATGATGGTTTTTCACGCAAACAATTGGAGATATTACAAATACAAATAAAAAAGTTTAACAAACATAAATGGGAGTTTTCTGAATACTAATGCATATTTTACAAATATAAATGGAGATTTCACGAATATAATTGAGATTTTACAAATACAAATGGGAATTTTACGAACACAAATAGGGATTTCACGAATACAAATGGCGATTTTTAGTAGAAATAGAGATGAAAAGTTCACGAATACAAATGAAGATTTTACAAACACAAATGTGAGTTTTAAAAACACAAATGGATGTTTTACAATATAAATATGTCATTTAAATTCTCGAACATAAATATTCCATAAATGAGGTTTAAGCAACCTTCATGTAAAACTATTCAATCATCTTACCAAGAGGTCCTAGATTACTCGGAACCGACACATTAGTAAAAAACGTTTCAGTCATTTGAACATATAGACCGGGTTTTCCGCAACAGTCGATTTGGCGTGCATATGGCCTGTCTCCGGCAGTTCCTTTTTTGTCAACTCGGAAATGAGCCGTTTCGTATGTCTCAGTAGTAGCCATTCTATACCCAAGATCTTCTGACCATCTTGCTGGCACCAGTATAGTTATATTTCGAAAATAAACACGATGTTTCGTTGCCCTATATAGAAATGCCGATGCTTCGGTGAATACATCCTAGAGAATAAAAACAAATGCCAGCCTCATATAAACCTTCTGTGGATATCATCTGTGGATAGTAAAATTATTATTTGTTGAATGGTGCGTTTCGATTCGTTAGTTTATTGAGTGTGTTATTATTTATAGAAAAATGACGATCTTAATGTACATTATTCATACATCAGTATTGTCAATTTCAAAAATCAAAGATATTTATCCGAATAATGTTGAATGTCATTGTTTTGCCAATATCGTTGTTGCGCTGAAGATTTTGAGTTTCTTGTGATGAATTTGTTTACGCGTATCTGTTGATCGACTTATTTAGTTGATTACTAGCGAACGGCTGTGTTATGTTTGTCATCGTTTCGGCCCATGCGAGGTTCTGGACGGAACTTGGCTCAGTGATTTGGAACTAATTACGATATAACCGTCGCTATTCGGACTACTATTTCTGACAGTTGGTATTCGCAGTTACTAATTTAGTGAACGATTAATCAAAAGATATGACGTGTCCAGTACTTAGTGTGATTGGCTGTATGATTGAAGGTTACGCCCTAGAGTCTTTTTACTGCTTTGTAATTGGTTAAGGTTTTGAAAATTAATAAAGTTGTTTTTTGTTTGAGTTGGTCTTGGCGAGTACACCAGGACAGACGCAGTCTTGAGACACAGTCTAGTGTTGGGCGAGTCTTGGGTCAACCTTGCGATAGTCTTGGGGACTTTTCGCCAGGTCGCTGTGTCTTATAGAGTGCTCGACTGACCGACTAATCACGAGAGTTGAAACGTATTCTTGTGTATGCGTCTTATTTGACTGTAAAGCTTAAGCGACTTTCCCAATCCCGTACCCCAAGGGGACGCGATAGAGAGACGAGACGATATTCCCCCCTGACACATGTGGAGAACCCAGGGAAAAAGAATTTCCCCCTGATATTCTTTTCAAAAATTCATAAACATATAGTTGTATGCTAGTGGTGCCTTTCAATAGCATAAATCAGCACATTTTTCTGAACCTGGATTGATTGATACTGTTGATATGTTTGTAACAATTGATTTTCCACCTACCTAGCCTGCTGGAAACATATATTAAGACCATAGCAACGTCTTACTTAGGGTGCTATTTTCCGATATCATTATCGGGAATCATTATAAGCACTCTAGCTTAATGCAACATTTGGCTTCTGCATACGAAAGATTCAGCCTATCACAACGCATATATTTTAGCCAATCAGATCCCCTCCTTATTGACCTATCACAAACATGTAATATATCTCCTTCCCGCCTAAATTCAAGAATGCACCATTTCCCTATAAATTGAGAAATTGTCCTTGTACAAAACTCAATGTCTATTATTATTTTGCGTATGAGGTGTGTATTTGAATGTAAATCGCGTTTATTTTATTGACATACAGGACACCAGAAGATAATGTGAGCTTCCAGAATTGGTTGTAAATAGTATTTTTTGATCCAGCATATTTTCATTAACGAAAAGAAAAATGTAAACACATCTGGGTAAGGATATCCTTGGTAACAGGCACAATGAATTATAGAACTGTAGATATTTATACAGAATCAATATATCTACACGACGCCACCCAATGTACATGCACTCAAGTTATGCAAGCAGAATTGAATAATAATTTATTGATCCTGGAATCATCAGACACACCTCGTGGCAAGGTTGGGGGAAGACAACAATCATTATTTAATGTTTCGTTATATAATTATTTATTTCGCCAATATTATAAAATCAAGAATGAAAGTTGGGTTAAGTTGACAACTTCAAAATGCAAATTGCACGAGAGCAAAAGTAACATATTAAAAAGCGTTTGCTAGCTTTATACATTTTGCATTTCATATGTATAACCACAGTCACATAACATTTTTACTCCACGTTATATTGATGGATTCAAAACTATGGATCTCTTGTGTCACACGTAGTATTAGCATTGACTATGTAACTGAGTGTACTATTATGCAGTATTTAAGTGATGTACGAAATGCTGCTTTATTACCGGTTTATAGACCGAGTGTGGATTACTTTTTGGGTTAGTATTTATGTTGCCATGGTGTTTGCCCGATGCCATGGTATGTGGCTTATTTTAGACTGTTAGAAATCACCGTGTACAGGAGCGAGACATGGGTTGGGGATGTCTTTCCTAAATTTGGAGTCTTTCATGCTAATTGAGAGTGACTGACCTTTGACCTGGAGAGGCGAGCTGTCGGATTGGTTGAATGAACGCGCTAAAAATAGGACAGAAAAATGCCCGGAACATCTGAACTTGGTTACAGTGAGCAGAGTGAAGATTCATCTAAATCAGACGAATAACGGCATTGATTCCTGACTGAACACTTGTGGCAGAGAAGGGGAATCATCTGAGTCGCCGCTGAGTCAGCTGTGAGACTAAGGGAGTCTTGGATCCTGTGATACGAACTTTCCATGATTGAAAGACATTGCGCTCCTACAAACCACGAGGCTGACCTTGGAACCCTGATCGATTGCCTGCTGTTGTGTGGTAAACTTGGGACATTGAAGTGTAACCAAGACGGCGTGGGATTTGCTCGTAAGCGAGTAAATCGAAAGAAGACTCTGAGGTAAACCGTCTGATTCATGTGTGAAAGGCCGACTTTGCCATAACCGAGTATCACATTCGTCACGATAAAAAACTGTAGTGATACTGAGGTCGACGACGAGTTGGATGTGATGTAATGACCGTTTATTAGCGAGTTCGAAATCACTCTCTCCCTGGGTTATTTCCCCACCGCTTTTGTTTCGGTTTCCCTGGGTTAATTATTGTTTCTATGTTGTTGTGCTGAGATATTGTCCGTGTCGGATCTTGAGTGCAAGCATTACATTTTTGATTTGTGGTTTGTTTGCCGTCAAAAATTGTATTCGCTAGCGCGAATTTTGGACACTTTTGGAAAATACGTCAACAACATGGTTGCTGGTTTCCACTCATTTAGTTTGATGTGTATAAGCTTGTACAGTGACATTTGTAAAGAGACATTTGATTGCTTGTTGTCACTGAACTGTAGAGATACTTTTTTATGCATTGAGTGCTGTTTCAGCCACAACTGTGTAGTAGTAGCTGTGATTTATGATTAATGTTGTTGCTGATGTATTGCAGTTTACTGATCTTGCATTGCATGACTGCTAGTTGTTTGATAATATACTGTTCATTGTTTGGAATTATTAAGGTCCCATTATTTGTGCTAGCGTGTTTGTGGGTACCGTTAGAGCTAGTTCGACACAATACTTATCCATTGCCCTTGATTTGGATTGAGAGGACCGTTTTCTGGGGACTGTGTGTGCTGGCCCCCTTTTATGCAGTGAGGAAAAATTTATGCTCCCCCTTCGTCCACTTCGGATCCGACATATTGGTCCGATAGCCTATTTGTGTTTGGTTGCCTGGCGACAAGTGGATGAGGGCGGTACACTTGCAAAATACATACATTTAGAACAAATCATCCCGCGTGCGTATTAGAGATCTACCGGGTTATAAAATAATTCCTGTGCAACGGATTTTATCATAATCACATATATACAAACATGACTTTTGGTTTTTTGTGTTCCTACTGTCAAGGTCGAATGTTCGTTCATAGTGCCTAGATCGTCTCAAACAGTCGGTGGGGTACGTTGTTTGTTATTATTTCCTTCTTTGATCACTGTATACCAGTGGAACGAGACAATATTGTTAATTCAACGACACAAAATGTTTACGGTTAGTTCACAGAAGGACTGAAGACTACCACTATAACTGGCTAGTCCTGAGTCAATATACAACTCTTAAAAATACTTTAGTAGTAAAATGAGTTCACTAGGACGTATAATGCAAGCAATGTCTCACCTTTATTTTCTCTATCAGAATCCGATGTTCGGTAACATCCTTATGTATCGCCACCACAATGCCGTCATAACCGTTGTCGCTGATTGTAATGCTTTCACGTGCGTGAACACAGTATATGGCGATTAGAAGCAGTGTGGAAGGCACATAACGCACCATCTTGTGAAACCCCGCGTCTGACTGTTTTTGTTCATATATGGTTAAGATAGTTTATTTCCTTGTTCCCTTTCAAAGCAAACAATAACGGTTTTACCATTAGAATCTGAGAAGCGGGGGAGGGGCTTGAACTACTGTGCACATATGTTTGTTATTTTTGAACTAGATTTAGTTTAACCTGATTGTGTTTCTAAATATTCTGTTTGATTTTCTTTATAAAGTATTATTTTTATAAATATTTTGTTACTGTAAATTTCACTGTAGATTGTTTTTTGAAGTCACTTGTTTCGGAATCCCCGGTCTTTCTGGTGGTCGAACCTACACGTCACACCACAGTCATAATATGTTACTCACCTATTGACCTTCAAGTCTCAAGAGTCCACTTGCTAAATACTATTTTTGCCAGTATGGGGTTATGGCTTTGTTATTTGTCAGGTATGCAGAGAAAAATATTTGCTTACTACTTGTGTTTAAACTGTTGCATTTGATTTCAGGTAAATAAATGACGTACAACGAGTGTTGATGTTGATGCCTTGTAGAAATGTTGCATTTAATAAATCTGCCTTGTTCACATGTACTGTTTTTGTTAATATTAATATACATACTTTTTAAAATCATAAAGTCGATGGTTTTTGATACCGGTGTAACCATTGTCTCTGATTATGATCGAATTCATCTTCGACATCCCCATTGTATCTTGGAAATCCAAGATGATTTTTGCCGTTTCTCGAACAATTTAATGATTCTTTTGTCAGAGATTCCAAGTTTGGTAACATGTCAGCATCGCGTTGTGTATGACCGTATTTTAAAGTATGTATAATTATAATATTAAATATGTTCATTTCAAACTGTTTCTACATCTGAAATTGGCGCTGGAACATATCGGTATATCGGGAAGTGGTCCACAGGAATTTGAAATAACTTAAGTGGATTTTAATTTAAAACGAATTATAAATAGAATTGTCTTTTTCTGTCGATTCACACCCCTCAAAGACAAAGGCTCGGTGTGAGTTCATTAGATGTTTACGTAGATATACAACTCTCTTCTTAATTAAACGTGTAATTACACAATTGCCCTATAAAGAACATTTTAGATATTCCCCTCAGATGCTCGTGGATACTAATCACGTGTCTCCCGTGATTTCCTCACTTCTCTTTACTTCCGGGTGAGCTATACTTAAACGTATATATACAGGTGAATGCAACTATGTTGAATTTGTTTTGTAAAACGAATAAAACGAACACAATATGTCGTAAATAATTAACACTTCTATTAAAGTTCAACTCGGCTGTCTTGAATATTCAAATTCTTGTCTTGTTTTCCATACGTAATTATCATTTTATATAAACTCCCTAAAAAACGATGTTGTGCCCTTAAGCACAGTATTAGTACATCTGATTGAGCGCTATTATTAATCAGGACGTTGTAAATGATTTGTTCCAGATACTTATTCACGATCAATCCAGTTACCTCAAGTACGTATTTACCACTTCAGAAATTGGAAAAATATAATAATACACTGACGTACTGACATATACTTTGATGACGTATAACGATCATCAGTACTGATAAGAAAATATTGTTACCAGTTAATCCAGACTTTGATCACAGCATACAATACTACAGTCATTCACCATTCTGAATACTTCATCACTACCCTTCAGGATGGAAGCACACATAAACGAGTATGCAATAAATTACCTAATTGGTGTTTTTTACAAAAGTAATTTAATAATTTTCTTTATCATAGTAAGACTCTATGTTAATTCATTACAAAAACGAACAATTTCAAAGTGGACTGGAGTTTGCCGTTTTAACAGAAGCATCACTGAGAATAACATTATATCGGACTTTAAGCAAGCCTGACTGAATAGCCATAGACAAATTTGAGCTCGTGTATGAATAAATAAACAAATATATACATAATATTGGGTTGGATTCTTAAAATAAATGAATTTTATAGTAAGATTATAAAATTTCCACTAATACTGTTACGTCATTTTGAAGCATGCTAACTCAGTGTAAATTTTCAGTCGCATATTCAATTCACAGATGCCTCGAATTTCCTGTATATTAACATATTTACTTAGCCTGGGCGTTATGGCGACGTCACAGTGTCACGTGATTGAACCTATAAAAGTACTTGGCCTTCATATATCGACTTGATTCACATTTAGCTGAGGTAGAAACTTAGACGTGTCACCGAGGCTTGCCCCCTTACCCTTAGCCAACGTCCAGAAAGAAACAGTTTCACAATTGGTCTAGAAACAAGACAACATGATGCATGCACCTAACACGTGGAAATCCATTGCATTTTCATATTCAATCCAGGCTCAAATAAGCTCTGTGGTGTGTGTGTGTGTGTGTGTGTGCGCAGTCGTCCCAATTCGAGCCACGAAACAACTACAGTGTTGTGTATATACTCATGTCCACGACGTGTGTTAACGTTTTACGTGCTTTTCAAAAAGAACAAAAACCAGCAGCCCAGGTTGAACATTGGCCTCCTCAATATCCAATATTTGCTCTGTATTTCCACTTTGCGTGAACTACTGACAAATACCCGTTCACTGACCCCTGAATGCACCATAAGGGCTTTTAATTTTATAAAATTCATGGAAAATTGCAGATCGTAGATCTTACAATAGAATTTGGATAGCACTCCAATAATAAAGTGACTAGTGATAATAAAGTGACTAGTGATAATTCAGTGATTAGTATATATTTCAATTGGTAAGCTTTGTAGTTATTTGGTGACACAGTTCATGACCTCATGTTTCTTACGAAAAACATTTAGTTATGACTCAAAATTATAGAGTGTGGGTTATGCACTTTCTGAAACACCTGACATCGCCTATTGATGGTGTTCGTGTATCACGCATTCACTTATTTTGTAATGTGTAGTTAATGATTTTGTAAGCTTTCGTTTTTCTCTATGTGACAAATTTGATTGTGGGTGACCAACTTTTAATAACAGTACTTCCTTGATCTTTTGCCGTTGTAGCTACAACATACTACCTTATATTGATTACACATACTTACACCTGAGCGGAGCTAAACTCCCACTCGGCGTAGTGACCAATGGTTACAGTGAGTGTAAAGTAATCACTGTTCCTACGAGGGGCGTTCAATAAGTAATGTCCCTGACCCATTTCCCATATCAGAAGATTGATGAAACTTTGCACAGTTATTAGTCTTTCTCCACTTAGAGTTATGCATTTCTCCTTTCGTTTGATGCATCTCTGGGCACCGTTTCTGTAGAACACACCAGGTTGATCCTCCAACCACATCGTAACTTTAGAAATCAAGGCTGCATCATCTAGGAAACGCTTTCCTTTCAAAAACAACTTCATGGCTGGGAAGAGATGAAAGTCAGATTGTGCAAGGTCAGGAAAGTACGGGGAATAGAGGAGGATTGCATAGCCACACGCCCGTGCTTCTGATCTGGCGACATGCGAGTTGTCCTGCAGGAGGAGGATGCCTTTGCTGATCTTGCCCCGCCTCTTGATTTTGATAGCTTCTCTTAATTCCATCAAAGGTGAACCGTAACAGGCTCCTGTAATTGCGGTACCCTTTGCCAGGAAATCTGTCATCACTATTCCATCCTTGTCCCAGAACACTATGAGCATGACCTTGACAATGGAGGGCTGCACTCTTGCCTTCTTTGTAAGTGGTGAGTCCAAGTGCTTCGACTGCAATGACTGGGCCCTTGTCTCTGGATCATAGTGATGAACCCACGTTTCATCATGTGTAATCAGTCTTTTGAAAAACTTTGACTCATCTTCTTGGCACATCTCCAAATTTAGCCTCGAGCACTTGATGCGTTCTTGCTTCTGGAAAGCTGTGAGCATTTATACACCTTATGTATATGCAAATGGTCATGAATGATAGTTTCCACAGACCCTGTACTAAGCTTGACCTCTTGGGCTATTTGGCTAACAGTAATGTGTCGATCGTCCAAAATGGCTGCCTCAACTTGATGGACAGATGCCTCATCAATGGCTGAAGAGGGACAACCCGGTTTGGGAGCTGTTTCCACAGACTTCAGCCACGTTTGAATTTACTGTGCCTGTG